AGGGGCAGGAGAACCTGAAGGACCTGGGGGGTCCCCAAATGTCCCTGAGGGTCCCCAAATGTCCCCAGGGGTCCCCAAATGTCCCTGGGGGTCTCTGAGTGTCCCCAAGGGTCCCCAAATGTCCCCAAATGTCCTCAAATGTCCCCAAATGTCCCCAAGGCGCAGGTGGCGTTCCTGCAGGGCGAGCGCAAGGGGCAGGAGAACCTGAAGCTGGACCTGGGGGGTCCCCAAATGTCCCTGAGGGTCCCCAAATGTCCCCAAATGTCCCCAAATGTCCTCAAATGTCCCCAGATGTCCCCAAGGCGCAGGTGGCGTTCCTGCAGGGCGAGCGCAAGGGGCAGGAGAACCTGAAGGACCTGGGGGGTCCCCAAATGTCCCTGAGGGTCCCCAAGGGTCCCCAAATGTCCCCAAATGTCCCTGGGGGTCTCTGAGTGTCCCCAAATGTCCCCAAATGTCCCCAAATGTCCCCAAGGCGCAGGTGGCGTTCCTGCAGGGCGAGCGCAAGGGGCAGGAGAACCTGAAGCTGGACCTGGTGCGGAGGATCCGGATGTTGGAATTCGCCCTCAAACAGGAGAGGTGAGGAGGAAAAAAAATCCTAAAAAAATCCTAAAAATCTTAAAAATAATCCCCAAAATGGTAAAAATTATCAGGCAAAAAAAGGTGTCAAAATTTGGGGGGAAAAACCTAAAGTTTGGTTGAAAAAGGGTTGAGGGGAGGGAAAAAATTGGTATGAAATTCTCCAAAAATGGGCTTAAAAAAGGTCAGGGAAGGGTCTCAAAAATTGCACAAAAATCCATGAAAATTGCCTCAAAATCATCCTGGGATTTGTTAAAATTTCACCCCAAAATCACCTGAAATCATCATAAAAATCCATCCCAAAAAAGCCCTAAAATCCAGAAAATAACACCCAAAAAAACATCAAAACTGGTAAGAAAATCACACCAAAATTCCCTCTAAAAAGCCCCAAAATCCCCCCAAAAAACCCCCAAAAAATCCCAAAATCAACCAAAAAAATTCCCAAAAAATCCCAAAATCAACCAAAAAATTCCCAAAAAATCCCCACAAAACCCCCCCCCAAAATCCCAAAAAAACCCCAAAAAATTCCCAAAAATTCCCAAAAAATCCCCCCAAAAATCCCAAAAAAACCCAAAAAAATCCCCCCCAAAATCCCCCCAAAAATCCCAAAAAAACCCCAAAATCAACAAAAAAATTCCCAAAAATCCCCCCCAAAAATCCCAAAAATCAACAAAAAAAACCCTAAAAAAATCCCCAAAAAATCCCTAAAAATCCCAAATTTTATCCCAAGACCCCAAAAATCAACCAAAAATTCCCAAAAAACCCCAAAAAATCCCTAAAAATCCCAAATTTTCTCCCAAGATCCCAAAAATCAACCAAAAAATTCCCAAAAAATCCCAAAAATTCCTAAAAATTCCCAAAGAAACCCCACAAAAAATCCAAAAAAATCCTAAAAATCAACCAAAAAACCCCCAAAAAAATC